GGGGGGGGGGGGGCTGCCTTCGGCAACCCCATGTCGGGGCTTACACATGGTAAAGGGGCTAGCTACGCGCCTGGGAGCGGGGTAAGCATTAGGTAGCTTTGGGCTTAAAGTTGTTCTAGTTATTATTTTATTTTGCCTATTCATTAAACAAAATATGAAGGAGTATTGTTTTATGTCGATAACTCTAAACAAATAAAGCAAGGGATGCTATCCTTATCTGATCCCCCTATTAACAAAATATATTTTAGCACATTTTATTTTTGTGACCTTAAACGAAATACAAAATAATATAAAAAAAAAACACCACCCCAATACCTACAAACCTGTATCCATAAAAACTCACATGAGGTGTCAGACAAGGTGATGCTCTACCGTTTTACTTGTTTATATTTAAATATAATGTAATATCCATTTATGTTTTATTTTTCAATGAATGGGAAAAGACAAATAATAAACACGTGCGTATTAATTTCATTATTAAGATGATTTTATTGTTTTTATATTTCTGCATACATTTTTATAACACACAAGTATAAAGTATAAAAGCGATTGTATGCGATTGTATGCCTTTGTTTTTGTTTCATAATTATAACTAATACTATTATCCATATGCTGTAAAGCGCTTTAATACAGTTATCCATATGCTGTAAAGCGCTTTAATACAATTATCCATATGTCGTAAAGCGCTTTAGTACTATTATCCATATGTTGTTAAGCGCTTTAATACTATTATCAATATTTTGTAAAGCGCTTTAGAGCAATTTTACAAATTATATATGGCGCTATATACATGTTGTATGCTATTATTATTATTACAATAAGAACATATCAAAGTTCTCCAGAGGAAAGATTACTTTTGCAGAATATACACATTTAAGAGTTTTTACTGTTGCACACAACATAAAAACATGCGTTGTGTAATGTAGCTTTTTGCTATGAAAAAACATCAGTAAATGTAGGAGTTTTTACTATAATAAACATTGATAATCAAATCTTTGCGATTCTGTGAAATTGTACGTGCATTGCCTATATGTTTGGCATGCTGAAAAAGAATTTAAAATAACAGTTTTGATATCACATAAAATGTAATTCTGTAGACAATAATAATATTAATATACATACATATTTTAAAAAGAGTGTAAATATAGACTACCACTGTAACTTGTAGTATATATGAGTAAGTTGACAATTTTGCATATATTTTAAAATTTGTGAAAACTTCGCACATTTTTCTAATTAAAAGAATCACTACACTTATATAATTAATGTATATCAATATGAAATATTAAGTATCAAAATAACGGTAATTTTATACACTAAACATCATCATCATAATTCATTTTAAAACTAATTCGCCGGCGCATGTATCTGTCATTTTGTTAGGGTACCCCTGTCACTCAACCTATATATGGCTGGTGTTATTCAAGGTGCTCCTTTTCGCCTGTCAGTAGTAATATTATCATACAGATATTTTTCATTTCATGTATCTCCTTATGGCGAAACAATAGTGAAAACATTTGAAGGGGGCCGAATGTTGACCCCACCTTTCATAAACTACCGGTCGTTGGATGAGTCAGAGCGCAATTATTTTTTCTCTAAAGTTAATTTGTGAAAAAAATGAAAAGTCTAATATCACGATCCAATTCATTTCTTTTATTTGGATTGATTAGCATTTAAACATTTAGGGATGCTTATACATTTATTTTATTAAAAAAAAACCCAACAGAAGTAGGATATAAAAGGCATTTCAGGCCATAGATCTACCATTTCATCTAACGTTATGATATCCTGTTGACTTATGAACGTGACTTCAAAAAGAAACGACCCGCGTCATCAACCTCAGAGGTGAATTAAGCGCAAATTTCACGGTAATACGTTTAGGGGTTGTGAATGACACGAAACTGTATTCAGCTGTACTGTATATTGTCATGTGCGATCTATTTTTAACCCGGAAGCATCATATGCCAGTTAATCGTGTCCTCACTGCGCATGCTCACAGAAAATTTAATCATTTCCGCGAGTGAGTGTATTCAGAAAGATGTTATGTTGACAAATGAACCTCTACGGATAACGAGGTTTTAGAGAAATTTAGGGGTCAGTGGAAACAGAAAGAAGAGAAAACTCAGGGATTTACAAGCAACTATGAAGGAATTGATGATCTCCTGTTTCCTACATCTATTTTTCATCGCTATTTTTACAGGTAAACATCCTCGCTGTCAAAATCGTGTGTGGTGAGCAATCGTTTGTGTAAAATTATTACGAACAGATTATTCATCAAGTTTTACGCTCTGAAAGCTTGAATAAGTAATCGAACTGGTTAGAGATGTTATTTTAAATGATAAATGTTTAACTTAACATTTCTACTGTCCCACATATACGATACGACTACCCACTAAGTCTTTGTGTATTGTAAAACTGGGATGGTTTTATACTGCTCTGCGCTTTAACCCTAAAGCCGGGTCAGTTTTCATATGGCCAGTCATGCAGCGTGACAGGTGTGTTTAGTTAATAGGGGTGTATACGTGGAAGCGGTCAGTTATTTCTGACCGGCAACGTGATTGATCTTTCTAGGATGGATGTACACATTTATGACTGGTGACTGTGTCTCAGTGAATGTAAACATATCGGCTGTGTTGTGTGACCACTTGTCACTAATACGTGTAGAACTACAACAGTCTCCTTGATACCGGTTGTGATTTTAAATCGGTAAACAGCATATTGGTGTTTTTTTTTAATTTAATGCTAGGCCAGGACCAGTACTTGTGATGTACCAGTTAACTTATCAGAAAGGTCATTGTGCACTATAAGTTTCATATTGACATAATGTTCATGTTTGAACTTAATTCATGCCTGTTATCATGGACAATTTCACTCATTCACCCCTGAAATTTCATAATGAACCATTACAAACCTATGAATTGGAAGAGTTCAAATTTGTCCTTAGGAGTGAATGAGCTAAACCCTATTTTTTTTTGACCAATTGATTCACATAAATGTCATTATACAATGCCATGGATGATCTTAAACTGGTACATCATGCTAATGGCTTCCATTTGATCTTAATTTGTAATTAACAATTTCAGAAATCATTTAGTCTCCTAAATATAACCTGGGTTTAAACACAAGTTGAATAGCTTGACATGACAATTGTAAACAAAAAGCCTGGAAGAAATAAAGCTAAGTTTAGGGGGTCAAATTCTCTAAAGGGTTTACTGAAAGCTGTTTATTTCATTTGATAAAGTATTGGACACACTGATACATGTAATGTAGTGATGGGCTGATAATTGATTATAATAAAAAAAAATGATTGCTTTGTCTTATCCGGTTCCAATTATCAATCAAAAATTCCATTATCGATATATAATCAGTTCTCATTAAAATCAAAGTGTGAAATGTTTTCAATGTAAATAATGTATTGAAAATCATAATTCTTATAATTTTAAAACCTAATGTATAGTTAACGACTCTGTCTATTGATGTACTATATAGTAGTGTTCTCATTTAATTCGGGTATTCAGTCCCAAAAAATTATGAATCAATCATCGATCAGTTCACTACATGTTCAATTGTACTTCAAATTACAAACGAATATATCAATAATTATTTTAAACTGATTGCCCGTCAATATTGTTGTTGAGGATGAAACTCTCAACATAGGTTTTTCCAAAGTTTGAATTCAAACCATTTTAACAGCGTATCTTCTTGCACAGAAAATAATCAAGAGGTAAAGACCAAAGAGTGACTATTAGTTTATATCCTTGTTAAGGATTTTATATCCGGTTGTTGTCTTGTGTACTAGTTCAGAGTCTGTAGGTTCCCAGCTGGGTTCCAATTCCGGTCGGTGGGATTGTGGTTTAGTTGTCTCCTGTTACCTATTTGTACCGTGACTATCAGTATTACTGACTAAACCTTGTAACAGGTATTGTCAATGTGTGATTATGTCAAGGGCCTGAGATAACCAAACCCATTATCACCAGATCAGCGTGAGGCCAAATAAAGAAATCTTCTGTTTCCATTAGCCCTACCTACGTACTCTAACTTTTTGTGCATGTACCCGTAAGTTTTTATTGACATTTTGTGATATGCACTATTAAAGTCAGAACTCCTGATGTATGTAAGCACAGTATAAATATTTTCCAAAATAAAAAAGATTGCCTACCTAGCTACTGTATCTACTCTATTTTTTCTGAAGATGATAGTGGAAACACAGGTAATATTTTTGGTCTGGCGGCACTGTAACACGTGAATTTTGAGCTGCTATATACGCACCACCAATTTACCGGTACGCCAGCTTGGCCATTATTCATTAGGATCTACACAAAAACACACTATATTTATCTTATAGACAGAGCAACAATACATCTTACATAATGTTTAAAGTCTATACATGGAGTGACATCGCTTACATGTATGTATACATGTATCCCTAGTTAATTAATACTGAAGTCAGGAAGTTGTGACTACCTCTGTGTCTTCCTTTTATGAGGTATCGGGTTCAGCAAGTTTTCAGTTTAGCTCGTTCACCCCTACATATTTCAACTGGACTTGCCCAATCTTTGATTTGGAAAGGTTCAAATGTGACTTAAACTTTAGGGGTCCTTATATTAAATGACCATAGCTGTTGATGGGACGTTAAACAATACTAAACCCAAACCCAAACCTGTAACCATCCCCTACCCATCTGTACCCAATCCCCTACCCATCTTTACCCTTCCCCTACCCATCTGTACCCAATCCCCTACCCATCTTTACCCTTCCCCTACCCATCTGTACCCAATACGCTAACCATCTGAACCACCTACCCATCTGAAACCTCCTACCAATCTGAAACTCCCTACCAATCTGAAACCCCCTACCAATCTGAAACCCCCTATCCATCTGTACCCCTTGCCTACCCATCTGAACCCCCTACCCATCTGTACCCCTTGCTTACCCATCTGAACCCCCTACCCATCTGTACCTGTTACCCTTCCCATTTGAACCCCCTACCCATCTGTACCCCTTACCTTCCCATCTGTATATATATCTCTCCCCTAACCACATTGTCTGGGATATATATGTACAGTCAAACATCTATAGATCCAGCTTCAAATATTCAAATTTCTCGATATGTCGAAATACGGCAAAGCTCAGATTTTCCTTCTATGTAAATATTCTATTCATGAATCAAACTTTTATGAGTCAGATTTCTCCCTGGTTGGAAGTTTAATCAAAACCCATTAATTTGAAAACGTTTTAATTAACAACTAAGAAATTTATCAAAGTGAAATATTTACCTGTCCCAGAGCATTGACATGACCCACAGTCATTTTAACAGTACAGGCTTCAGAAATTTAATTGATGTACAAATGTTGAATATGATAAAATCACCATGCAAGCTCCACCTTGTGTAAATAAATCAAACATGCTGTAATTATTACTGTAAATCTAGTAATGTATATTTAAAATTAAATTTGAATTTATTAGACTGTGTACGTTTTATCACTAACGAATCACATTCAATCATGTCAATCATTCATGAGACGAAGTTCCCGATGTTTCGAATGTTCCCCGCTGGTCCTGTAAAGTTCGAAACAACAGAGTCTGACTGTATTTGATATACTTTGTCACCTAATTACAATTGCCAATTGGCAGCATGTTCAATGATTTATCAGGGAGATTTGGAAAACTGACCCTAGTAGCTAGCTAGTATAAATGTGGGAAAATACCAACCAACAACATAAGAACCATATTGGGAAATTTGAAATGTTATTATAACTATACTACTTAAAATTAGACAATTTAACTTTGTTTCGCCTATCTTTATGACAAGATAATGATTTTGTCTTTACCTACTTTTGATGTATTCTGAGAACTCGGTCAACTGTAAGGAATTTATCTATATTTATGCAGTATTTTTTTTGCTCAGTTTTACCACCAAATACATACACTGTATACAGGCTGTTTCCCTTGCTAAAAAGTGCCTTATTTTCCCAAAATGAGCAAAACCGAGGAATATGTTCCCAATTTGAATACAGACAATGCAATATTTCCGAATTAATGAAGGAACAGCTGTTTACAACAAAAACACTGCAATTTGGAATTTGGAAGTATCAAATAGGGGGAAAATTACATACTTTTTACAGTTGTGAATGAGTCCTTTACATGGATTTAAAATGAATCCTAATATGTTGGGAGCTATTGTGTTCACAAACTTTTGCCTTGTTCAATCCTCTTTGACATTGTCAACTCTGACGGCTACTTGTAAAGGGTTATGGACAGTTCTTATGTATACAACTAAATACTTTTAACCCTTTCAACACTGTAGACCATAATGAACTCCTCCGTATCAATGCATGGTATAGTCTACTTAAGTTACATAGGGGTGAAAGAGTTAACCCTCTGAAAAGCATGGGAAAATACATTTACAAGGATGTTTTCACATCTGAACAACTCAAGCGTGACCGTATTGAAAGCACTAATGGTTAGTGATACTTATTAACTATTGACAATATTTCTGTACCAATATATATATAACATGTAGGCGGTTTTATCAGGAGAGTAATCATGGTTTACTTCAGTTTAGTGCTCAAGGGTGACTGTGAAGCTTGTTTTCTAGAACTTGAGTTGTAGTTTGTGTGTACCAGGTTTGTACATTTGAGCTCTGTTGATTTAAACAGTCCTTTGTCCCTAGTAAAAATCACCCATCTTCTTCCTTAACAGATAATCCAGTCACCTTTGTTCCCAGTAGATAATCCAGTCACCTTTGTTCCCAGTAGATAATCCAGCCGTCTTCAATATTCCTAGTAGATAATCCAGTCTCCTTTGTTCCCAGTAGATAATCCAGCCACCTTTGTTCCCAGTAGATAATCCAGCCGTCTTCAATATTCCTAGTAGATAATCCAGTCTCCTTTGTTCCCAGTAGATAATCCAGCCACCTTTGTTCCCAGTA